AGGCCGAGGTTGGGTGGATCACCTGAGGTCAGGAGTTCGAGAACAGCCTGGCCAACATGGTGAAACCCAGTCTCTACTAAAAATAGAAAAATTAGCCTGGCATAGTGGCACATGCCTGTAGTCCCAGCTATTCAGGAGGCTGAGACAGGAGAATCGCTTGAACCCGGGAGGCAGAGGTTGCAGTGAGTCAAGATGGCGCCACTGAACTCCAGCCTGAACACACTGTCACACCCACAACAAGGCCTGGAGCTTCGGAAGGATGGGAGAGGTTTTTCCTGGAAAACATAGAAAAGGCCTTGCAGGGTCTGGGTGGGGTTCTCACCCCCTCTAAGGAAATTCTTTATCTGCAACTTCCCTGAAGATCTGAGGGACCCCCCTATCTGGAGACCTTGCACAGTGGAGCACCTGGCAGACATGGTGGCACAGAAGGTAAGGCCAAGCGTCACAGCACCTGGCGGGATGGGAGGGGGCGGGCAAGGAAGAAGCTGAGCATGTTCAGACAAGGTTTAGGGTTGTCTGCTGGGGAGCACCTGCTGTTCACTATTGGCCCCCCGATGTCCAGCAAACAACTGACAACCACCAGGTTCAAAATGAAAATCCACTCCCTCCTTCTTCCCGTCCTCTCCCCCACTCAAAGGCACCTCCTCTCTGTGACTTCCCCATCTCTATAAATAACCCCACCATCAGCATTTCAGTCACTTTTGAATCCTCCCAGGCCCTGACTCTCACCCACTCATCCCATCCCCCACAAGTGTCCATGTAGATATGGCCTCCTCACCACCCATCCATTTTTGTGCCCCACAGTGGCCTTCTGCCTTAGCACTGTCACCCTCTCATCCCCTGCATTCCTCCCTTAGGCCACCGCCAGGACAGGCCCACCCATGGGTCTCACCTCATCAAAACCTTCATCAGACCCAAGTGTCCCGTGAGCAGCCTTTGGGCGTCACACAATGCGGTGGCACATGTCTGTAATCCTTGCTACTAGGGGGACTGAGGTGGGAGGATCACAGCATCCCAGGAGTTCAAGGCCAGCCTGGGCAACATAGCAAGACCCCATCTCTAATTAATTAATTAGAATGGGAAAAAATAAGACTCCACAAAATGAACGCAACATCCCTCCCTGGCCTGGCCTGACTCTCTTCCAAACAGACTCCACAGTCTGCCATTTGCTCAAACCCCAAAATAGGTCCCATGCTTTGGTGGCTGCTCATCTCCATTTGGAAGAAATGTCACCATCCTAGGGTCAACAGCCTGCTCATTCTTCAGGGCCTCCTCCATGCAGCCCTCCCTGACACCCCCACCCACTATGGGGGGATGGAGCACCCCCACACCAGCACTGGAGCTGCAAAGTGCTTCCTAGTGCTGCCAACCTGTGATCTTCAAGTGAACCAACAGCTGTGCCCTCCCTCACACCCAGCCTTTGTCAGCCCCTGGCTGCAGTTTGGAGAGCAGCTGGGCGCAGTGGCTCACGCCTGTAATCCCAGCATTTTGGGAGGCCAAGGAGGGTGGATCATGAGGTCAAGAGATCAAGACTATCCTGGCCAAGAAGGTGAAACTCCATACAAAAATTAGCTGGGTCTGGTGGCGCATGCCTGTAATCCCAGCTACTCAGGAGGCTGAGGCAAGAGAATCACTTGAGCTTGGGAGGTGGAGGTTGCACTGAGCCAAGATCATGCCACTGCACTCCAGCCTGGTGACAGAGCAAGACTGTTTCCAAAAAAAAAACAAGAACAGCTTTGCCCCTCACTAGCTGTGGGACAGTGGGTGAGTCCCTTAGCCTCTCTGGGCCACAGCTTCTTCATCTTTCCCTGGGTACTGTGAGGACTGATTGGGGCCACCGCAGTGCAATGCACTGAACGTCGTAAGTGTTCCATAAACAGCGGTTGCTTCAGGTGGCTCAGCTGTGAGACTTGTCTGCAGACACACGTGACCGGACATCTCCCAAGATCCCCACTCACTGTCAGCTGTCCTCTAGTTGCATCTGATGACCTTGCTCGGGGATTTTCTGAGCCTGCCCTTCCTCAAGGTGAAGGTGCCCCTCTGGCAGCAATTGCTTCCCCCACGGCCGGCCCTGCTCCCCGTGGCTCCTCAGAGAGCATGTCTGAGGCACATTCTCCTCCAGAGCCTAGCAGGTCTGAACCACTGCAGGGACATTTGCAGGCAGGATGGAGCACCCCCACACTAGCAGTGGAGCTGCAGTGCCTCCTAGAGCTGCCAGCCTGTCATCTTCAAGTGAACTTAATGGTGGAAGAAAAACATCTCGGCACTTGGTTGAGGCTAAATGGACCTATATGCACTAATTCAGTCACACTCAGCTTTCTCATACCTAACGTGCTCTCCCAGTGCCTCAGTCATGCGTTCATTTGTGAAGATTTCCCGCTTCAAGGACAGTACTTTCCAGATGGGACCAGAAGGCAGACCCTGACAAGGCCTTTTGCAGATGACTGGGCAGATTCTAGGTTAACCACACCTCAGGGTCAAGTGTAGAGGGAGGGGGCCGCTGCCTGGAAGAACTCAGCGGGGAGAGGAGCTCAATTCTGAGCGGGCTACAGGAACAGAGCCAGGGAGAGGCATGCGTCCAACCCACGGCCAGTGAGTATTGTCCTCAGCAGAGAAAATAGCCCATTCTCTGTGTCCTCCGTGACTTCACCAAATGCAGACTGTGAGCCCAAATGAACATGGCACCAGAGAAGCACAAAGCCACAAGCTCTTGTTATTCCTGTGTCTGCATGATTCATGCCACACCACTGGGACCTGATGGAGGACGTGGGATGTCCTGCCATTCCAGCAGGGGACAGCTGTTTCAAAGCCCGTAACATCCCAAAGGTGACATTCTTTATAGTCATCCTCTACTGCCCTCAGGAATGCACTTTTACTCCCCAGGTGAACGCCATCAAAGGGGCATTTTTCAATAGGAGACATTTTCTTCCCAGCCCTAGAGTCCGCAGTCGGGGACTGTCATGACTGGGAACTGACCTGCATGGCCACTGGGCAGCGCCAGGCTGGACTCTACGCTGCTCTGCGAAAATGCAGCCCGTGGGTCTCAGCAACCCCACCCTTTCACCTACAGCCTGGCCAGGGAAGGGCAGCCGACTCAACCCACAGGCTCTCACTTCCTCTTTCCAAGAACAGAAATAAGGCAACAACTTAACACTTGCAGAGACTTTTGTACCCTTTCTACTCCTGGACTTCGGTCTTTCCTGAGTACTTTTCTTCCCTCTTTTGCAGCACTCCCTCTGTGCTCCCCACGCAGCTTTCTGTTTCTGGCTTGCTCTCTCTGCTCTCTTCCCTCTTTGCGCTCTTGTGCCTAGGCTCCTAGAGCATCCGTTCGTTCTGGGCTTTCTTTCTCCCCACACCTCTCATGTCTCCCTCCTCCCTTTCTAAGTCCTGAGCCTAGAGTCCCCTCCACCTCTTTCCCAGGCCCTACTCCCCTCTGTCTCAAACTCCTCCTTCTCCTCAATTCAGAAGAAAGCTGAGAGATCTCCTGTCTCCTCCCCCTTCACCTCCCTCCTCTCCCCACAGGCACACAAAAGGGGACAGAGGCACCAGATGGCCCGGTGCTAAAAGAGGGGCTCAGGGAGGCTGCCACCCACAGAGGCCCCTGCTGGGCCTTCGAACTAGTCCAAGCTGCTGCCCGGCCCAGCCGCCCAGCTGGCAGAGGAGCAGGGCAAAGGGCCAGCCTCCCCAGCACGAGGCCAGCTCCCCCTGCCCGGCCTGCCCTGGGGCCAGCCCGGAGAGGGGCACGCTTGCCAGCTGAAAAGCAGAGGGTGTCAGCATGTGTCCAAGCCTCAAGTGCCAGGGGCAAGGGTCCGAAGGTCTATGGGGACACTGGGCTTACCCAGGAAGAAGGAGAGGAGGGGCTGGCAGTCTGCTCTTTCTATGGAACAGGCTGTACCAAGGAGGGGGCCTCCGCAATGGGTGAGCAGGCCACAGGGGAGCCAACAATCCTCCAAGTCCCCTCACAAAAAAGAAGATTTAGTGATGCAGTGTCTAACGTTAACAGCTACCATTCATTCAGTGGGTAGCTCAGCCAGGCATTATGCTAAGTCATTTCCTATACTATCCCTAATCCTTCAAGAGTCCTGCAGGGTAAACATTTGATCCCTATTGTACAGACAAGAAAACTGAGGCTAAGAGAGGTTAAATGATTCTCCAGGCATCATAGCTGGAAAGCCAGTTAACTCGGTTTATTCCAGGGCTCAAGCGACCCTCCCACCTCAGCCCCAGAAGTAGCTAGGCCTACAGGCATGCACCACCCTGCCCACAGCGAGATGGGTTCTCACTATATTGCCCAGGCTAAGCTCCAATGATCCCCACACCACCTTGGCCTCCCAGACTGCTGGGATTACAGATATGAGTCACTGTGCCTAGCCTAGTTAACACAGCTTAAAGTTCCTTTTCCAGTTAAAATTCTGTAAATCCTGCCGGGCGTGGTGGCTCATGTCTATAATCCCAGCACTTTGCGAGGCTGAGGCAGGTGGATCACCTGAGGTCAGGAGTTTGAGACCAGCCTGATCAACATGGCGAAATCTCGTCTCTACTAAAAATACAAAAATTAGCTGGGCATGGTGGGGGCACCTGTAATCCCAGCTATTCGGGAGGCTGAGGCAGGAAAATCGCTTGAACCCAGGAGGTGGAGGTTGCCAAGATCCAGACACTGCACTCCAGCTTGGGTGACAAAGCAAGACTCAGTCACACAAAAAAAAATAATAATAATTCTGTAAGTCCTGCTAAGATGGCATTGCAAAGGCAGGCACCTAACAATGCCCCTACTAAGCCCTTCAATAAAGCCACAGGCAGGCCAGGCGCGGTTTCTCACACCTGTAATCCCAGCACTTTGGGAGGCCAAGGCAAGCGAATCACTTGAGGTCAGGCATTTGAGACCAGCCTGGCCAACACGGTGAAACCCTGTCTCTACTAAAAATACAAAAAAAAAAAAAAAAAAAAATAGCTGGGCATGGTGGCGCGTGCCTGTAGTCCCAGCTACATGGGGGGCTGAGGCAGGAGAATTGCTTGAACCCAGGAGGTGGAGGTTGCAGTGAGCTGAGATTGCATCACTGCATTCCAGTCTGGGCAACAGAGCAAAACTTTGTCTCAGAAAAAAAAAAAAAAAGAAAGGCCACAGGCAGACGCTTCCAATTCAGTTCTCCATTGCACATGCCTGTGTGGCTTTTTTAAACATCAAGCTCCAGAGTCCCCTCCTCTGGAGGTTCTGATGTCCCCAGCCTCTCCAGAAATGCTTGTGCAGGAACAGGAGTATGAAGTGGGGCGGACTCGAGTTCCCAGTACAGTCACACGACATGGGAAAAGATACTTGCATCCCTCAGAGCCTCAGCTTCCTACTATAAAAAAACGGAGATAATAATGTTTGCTTTACCCACGTCATGAGGAGTGTAGGGTGCTTGGCATGGTGCCAGGCACTCCACAGGTGCTGTTCTGACGTCAGCTCCCCTTTACTGCCCTTCAGAAACCTGAGGCTGCAGCATCCACACTCTAGAGAGCTAAAGAGAAAAGGGTGTAGCCCATGAATACTACTCCAGTTATTCCGACCTTTGATTCTGGCCCTCATCGAAGTCCATGCACCCCGCCCCAGGGTCAGGCAGCTCCCACAGGGCTGCAGGACAGACAACAAGCCAGTATAGGACGGGGGATTTCCAGAGGCAGGACCTCTGCTCTCAGAATTTTCATGGAAAGGTTTCAAAACTGACCAGCTCCACCTGCAAAAGGTCACCATCCAGGCTGGCTGAGAGTTTGTGGAAACCTATCAGTCCATCAAACTGTACCCCAGCCTTCCTTCCATCATCTGCCAGAGCCCGTATTTCCAGAGCCACCTCTACCAGTTGCCCCTCTGGACGCCACAGCCCCGCTCCCAGGTTCAGGCCCTTCTGCCTCATCCAGCTGCCATGAGCCCCTCAGGACATTCTCTCCTGCCAGCCCCAGGCATTTCCCAGCCATCACCCAAATCCCATGTCCCCAATTTAAAAGGCAATGAGTAGCTTCCAAATACACCCTTCACTGTTTACTAAGAGTTGACTTTGAGTCACCTGGAGGATGGGCCCACTCCCAGTAGCCCGGGTGAGAATCCTTTCTTTCCACCTTTTGAACAGAGAACAAGTGGGTTCCAGGAAATGTCTGGAGTGCCTGCTACCTCTCCAGAGTAAACTCAAACCTCCACTCATTCTCAAAAAGCAACCTGGCTGGAGGCCCTGTTTCACAGGCACCCTGCTGGGCACATTCGCCTTCTTCAGCTTCCCTTCTTGAGAAACAAGGAGGTCAGTGCTGTTATCTTTATTTTATAGATGAGGCGACTGAAGTCGTTTGTTCATTTGTGAACTCAGGATTTAATCCGGGGACTTCTAGGTCCCAGACAAGAGCATTTTCTACTCCACTGTGTCTGCCTCTAAAATCTCTCAGGCCGGGCGCAGGCTCATGCTTGTAATCCTAGCACTTTGGGAGGCCGAGGCGGGCAGATCATCTGAGGTCAGGAGTTCAAGACCTGCCTGACCAACAAGGCAAAACCCTGTCTCTACTAAACATACAAAAATTAGCTGGTGTGGGGGCAGTGCCTGTAATCCCAGCTACTCAGGAAGCTGAGGAAGGAGAATGGCTTAAACCCAGGAGGCAGAGGTTGCAGTCAGCAGAGATCACACCATTGCACTCCAGCCTGGGTGACAGAGTGAGACTCCATCTCAAAAAAATAAAATAAATCTACCTCGAACCTATTTCTTGCCCTCTTTGTTGCCCCCATCCAAGGGGGCACCATCCAAGCCACCATAGCCAAGACCTGGGTCACTATAACGGGCTCCTATCTGGTCTCCTTGTTCTCACTCTTGGTCCCAAGCATCTATTTTCCACAACAGCCAGGATGGTCTTTTTCATGAAGTGATCATGTATCTCTCCCCTGCTGCACATAAAATAAAATCAAACTCCTCACCACGGCATACAACGCCTGTGTGACCTGTCCCTTCCCTCTCCCCACTGCCCCTGATACTTCATTTCCCCTCAGCCACCACACTCTGGCCACACTGGCCTCCCTTCCTTTTTTTTTTTTTTGAGATGGGAGTTTCACTCTTGTTACCCAGGCTGGAGGGCAATGGCGAGATCTCGGCTCACTGCAACCTCCACCTCCTAGCTTCAAATGATTCTCCTGCCTCAGCCTCCTGAGTAGCTGGGATTACAGGCACCCCCTGACCACGCCCAGCGAATTTTGTATTTTTAGTAGAGATGGGGTGTCTCTATGTGGGTCAGGCTGGTCTCGAACTCCCGACCTCAGGTGATCCGCCTGTCTCAGCCTCCTGAAGTGCTGGGATTATGGGCGTGAGCCACTGTGCCCAGCACATTCCTGAAGTCTTTTCCTACCCTGAGATCTTGACACTTGATGTTTCTTCTCCTTTCTTCTTGTCGCTCCGTATATTACTTTATTTTCTTCATAGCATTTATAACTATTTGAAATTTTTGAATTTATTTACATCTTGAGTGTCTTGTCTTCATTGACCAATGTAAGCTTCACAAGATAATTTTATCATGCTCTCCACGGCACCCTTGTGCCTGGAACAGCACAATAGTAAGTGCTCAATAATTATCCACCAGATGAATGAATGAAGGCTAAGGAGACCTCAGAGATGATGGGACGGAAAAGCATCAGCAGAAGAAAGCTGGAGCAGTTTTGCCTGCAGTATGTTCAGCAGAAGTGGCCCGGTGAGCCTCATAGTCAGCTATGCCACAGTGCACCTCGGGTCTGGGACAGAGGAAGGACGGTCAGTGTGTGCCCCCAGAGAGGGAACTATTTGGAAATTGGGAGAGTAAAGAAAGAAGAATAAAAATGTTGGGTTTTGTAGTGGTGGCTGCTATTTTTTAAGCCCACTCAGTGAGGGTTTTCTGCAGTGGCTCAACATAAGCAAACACTAGAGCTAAAAAAAAAATAGAGGAACTAGAAAACTGGAAAGAACTAAATGCTGTGCTGAAGTGAAATAGGTTCCCCAGAGTCTGATCTCGTGCGTGTGGGCTCACATGACCCTTAGGGAGGCCTCCTCCAGAAGAAAACAGAAGGAGGAGGAGAAGGAGGAGGAGGAGGGAGAGGGAGGAAAAGGAGGAGGAGGGAGGGGGAGGAGGGGCAGGGGAGAAGGAGGGGCAAGGAAGGAGGGGCAGGAGGAGAAGGGGTGAGGGGGAGGAAGAGGGACAAGGAAAGAGGAGGAGGAGAGGAGGAGGAGGGAGAAGAGGAGAGTGGGGGAAGAAAAGGAGGAGGAGTAGGGGAAGAAAAGGAGGAGGAGGAGATGGGAAAGGAAGGGAAGGGGAAGAGGAGAAACAGCAGCCATCAACAAAGCAGCCCAGTGACCATAAGGTAGGAGTGGCCCATTGACAGAAGTCCTTGACACTGACAGTCATGTAGGGAAGTCTCTGCCTGGGTTCCTAGAATGCACTCTGACTTCAGAGAGACACTAGCATAGACATGGTGAGAGGATGTAGGGTGGAAAGCAATCCAGCACCCCTGTGAAAACTCAAGGCCCTCCTTCCCAACTCCTCCAGCCTGGGCTGAGCCCCTCCTGTTCTGTGAGCTGTGCTGGACTGGGCTCCCTCTGCTGCAGACTGTGTCTCTGAGGATACTCAACGCCTCAGAAGACACGGGCCACGTCTCTCTGGAGCACCCATTCTACCTGATTATTTGCTGGGAGGTATTGTTTTTAATTAAACAAGGATTTTGTTTTGCCATAGATGCAAAATGTACATGACTTTTTTTTTTGAGAGGGTCTTACTCTGTCACCCTGTGCAGGGGCACCATCACAGCTCACTGCAGCCTCAACTTCCAGGCTCAAGTGATCCTCCAACATCAGTCTCCCAAGTAGCTGGGATTACAGGGGCCACCACCATGCCCAGCTATTTTCTTTTTTTTTTTGATGGAATTTCACTCTTGTTGCCCAGGCTGGAGTGCAATGGTGCGATCTTGGCTCACCGCAACCTCTGCCTCCCTGGTTCCAGTGATTCTCCTGTCTCAGCCTCCCGAGTAGTTGGAATTGCAGGCATGTACCAAGACACCTGGCTAATTTTTTTGTATTTTTAGTCGAGACGGAGGTTCTCCATGTAAATTTTTATATTTTTCTTTAGAGACAGGGTTTTGCCATGTTGCCCAGGCTGGTCTTGAATCCCTGGGCTCAAATGATCTTCCCGCCTCAGCCTCCCAAAGTGCTGGGATCACAGGTGTGAGCCACTGTGCCCAGTCAAAATGTACATGACTTTGTAAAGTAAGATGTGAGTTTTTCATAAATTTCACACCAGTAGTAGTTACTACAAATAGCCCAAGGGGGGCCGGGTGCGGTGGCTCACGCCTATAATCCCAGCACTTTGGGAGGCCGAGGCGGGTGGATCACGAGGTCAAGAGATCGAGACCATTCTGGTCAACAAGGTGAAACCCCGTCTCTACTAAAAATACAAAAATTAGCTGGGCATGGTGGTGCGCGCCTGTAGCCCCAGCTACTCGGGAGGCTGAGGCAGGAGAATTGCTTGAACCCAGGAGGCGAAGGTTGCGGTGAGCCGAGATTGCGCCATTGCACTCCAGCCTGGGTAACAAGAGCAAAACTCCATCTCAAAAAAAAATAGCCCAAGGGGCATTTATTCTCTCCTGTTTTTCAGCGGTATTAAGAAAAGCAGTGTAGTGGTTAGGTCCACGGGCTCTGGGACTGCGCTGCCTGAGTTTGAATCCAGGCTCTGCTTGTTACTCCACCATTCTGTGCCTCAGTTTCTGTGTCTATAAAGTCAGGGTGATGGTAATAGCCCTGACCTCATAGAACTAGCTGAGTTCATGCACATAAGGTGTTTGCTCAGAACGGTGCCTGGCACATGGTGAGCACTAAATGTCAGCTATTTTATGACTCTGGTAGACAGGCTGAGAAGCCATCCGAGCCCACAACAGCCAGTCCCATGCCGCCTTGAGCTACCCTCTCTCCCCAATGAGAGTACTGTAGCATGGGGGGCGGGGATGATGGTCTGGCTCTTGGGTGTGACTGATGAGGAATGGGCACTAACTAGCAGCTGTCCCACAGACACGGCACCCCCTCCAGAGAGGTGGATGTGATGGAACCACGTGGCTCTCACCTCAGGCCCCTGCCACAAGCTGCTTCCCTTACCTGGAAGGCACTTCCCAGCTGTTCACCATCACTGTCTTCCCCTTTGCCACCAACTCCCATCCAGCCTCAGGACCAGAGCTGTGACTAAGGACACAAAACGTAAGGGGCCCTCGTCACTCCCAGGGTCATGCAGCGATCAGGACTCAGTTCAGCTGTCACTTTCTCCAGGATGCCTTCCCTGAATCCCATCCATCTAAGTCTTCCTGGTGTCCCTCACTGCACTGACTTCCAATCAAATGCCACTGTAACCCATCACCTTGCCTGGCTGCGCTCCGTCATGAGCTCCTGGGGGTCGGGCACATTTCCTCATTCTTGTTCTACCCGTAGAGCCTCACACTCGCCAAGACAGAGAAGGCACCCGGCAAGTGTTAGGTGAGTAAATGTTGAATGGATCTTTCTCCAGGGGACCCCACCCCAAAGCCTGGCAAAAGCAAAATAATATGTTCATCTCCCAGGTAGGGTAAGAGACTAGAAAAGGGGCCAAGGAAGGGATAAGAGAAGGAGGGCAGCATGGAGGAGCACTAGGAATTGGCTGATGGTAGAAATGCCCCTGACCTTAGGAAAAATACTGAAGAATGGGGGAGAGCACACCCTTCTCTCCCTTCCTGAAAAGACAGCATTCGGGAACTCACCCAATCATTCCTCCATTCATACAACAGTCCTGTGCTGGGCACCAGCTGGCACCAGGCATGCTGCTGAGCAAGGAGACAGGGAAGGGAGAGCCCTGCTCCAGGCTCCTGGGAGAACTGGGGGCCCAGCTGTTTCTGCGTCTCTCCTTGCTGAAATGGGCATGGGGGCTCAGGCCTCATGTGCCTGGTCATGCAGTAAGAACGCTGCCAGCCTTCAGGCCAGTGTGTGACAATCCTACTGTAGGAATTGTGCTTCTGGAGAGACGCAGCGAGGTGTGATGAAAACGCACCACAAGACCAGGCACAGTAGCTCCCGTCTGTGATCCCAGTACTTTGGGAGGCTGAGGTGGGAGGATCACATGAGGCCAGGACTTCAAGACCAGCCTGGTCAATGGGACAAAACCCCGTCTCTACTGAAAATACAAAAATTAACCGGGCATGGTGGCATGCGCCTGTAGTCCCAGCTACTCGGGAGGCTGAGGCAAGAAAATCACTTGCCTCCTGGGTGCAGAGATTGAAGTGAGCCAAGACTGCACCACTGCACTCCAGCCTAGGCAGCAAAGCAAGATTCTGTCTCCAAAAATAAATCAAGTTGTGGGGTTCTGGGCATCACTGATCCTCTTGTCCCTGGTCCCCTATCCCTTGTCCCTCCCTGTGGCAGTCCTGGATAGGTCCCCAAATGGCAAAAAAAAAAAAAAAATCCCTACACTGGAGAGCCTGCCTATAAATAGGAAAGGCCAGAGGAGACAGGGAAGGAGAAAAGAATTTGCCTGAATTTGATCCCTAGGTGCAGCCCATAACTGCTGAGTGGCTGTGGGTCTGCCATCTAGGCTCTCTGTGCCTCAGTCCCAGTATTGCTGATTGAATGACATGACACATGTAAAGACCTGGCACAGCCTGTAGTAGGCTTCAACAAATGCTAACTGCCTTCCTTTGAATAATGAACTACACAAGATATACATAGTTTTATAAAACTTATTTTATGCTGTAGTGTCTCCTCCAGTTAAAATACTATTTTCTAAGGCTGATCATTTGTCAAATAATGACTACAGCTGCAAAGCATCCAAAACTCCACTTCCGGTCAGCAGAGCCCCACTCAGTGTTCTGGGGACAGGGAGCATGAGCGAGGGGCAATACCTCCACCTGGAGCATCTAGAAATGCTAACAAAAGGGGTGAAACTGGGGCTAGGTCGGAAGACAAATAGATGGGGAGGTGAGCAGAGATGGGTGAGAGCAAGGGAGGCCAGAGAAAAAGAACAGCTTGAGCAAGCATGTGGCAGAGGAGAGGTACGGCATACTTGGGAACCACAAACAGGTCACCTGCCTGGGGGACGGTAATATGTGCGAAGATTGGATAGGAGATGTCGCACTGCAGACAATCAGTGTCCAGTCCAGAAGGGCCTTTCAGCAAACATAACGGGTTTGTACTTATCTTGACAGAGAGGCATCTGCAGCAGCAGTGTAGACAGGCGAGAATGGGGAGGCTCTAGGCAGGGAGCCCAGTCTACAGGCCACTGTGATGACCACACTGATATATGATTCAAGCCTGGATTGGGACAGTGGCCCAAGAGGGGAAGAGATGTTCAAGTTGGGGGTGGGGGGGGAAACAGACCTAGAGGCCAGGCATGGTCGCTCAGGCTTCTAATCCCAGCATTTTGGGAGGCCAAGGTGGGTGGATCATGAAGTCAGGAGCTCAAGACCAATCTGTCCAACATGGTGAAACCCTGTTTCTACTAAAAAATACAAACATTAGCTAGGTGTGATGGCGCAGGCCTGTAGTCCCAGCTACTTAGGAGACTGAGGCAGGAGAATCACTTGAACCTGGGAGGCAGAGGTTGCAGTGAGCCGAGATCACGCCACTACCCGCCAGCCTGGGCCACAGAGTGAGACTCTGTCTCAAAAAAAAAAGAAAAGAAAAGAAAAACAGACCTAGAGAGTAGGAGCGAGAGAAAGGGAAGTTAACTAGGAAAACATCCACATTCCAGGCAGCTGCACTCATGACTATTCACTGAGACAAGGGAACCCTGGAGGAGTCAAGAGTAGGGAACTAGGTTTTAGATTAAATGAATTTGGAATACTTAACGGACCCCTAGGTGGTGTCCCATAGAACTTGCCAGCAGGATGAGTTCAAACTGGAATCTGTGAATATTCACTATGTACTCTTAGGCCTCCACAGTTCTGTTTTCTTATCTGTAAAATGAGGCTGCTACTTACTTCATAGAATTACTATTATTTTTGAGACAGTCTCGCTCTGTCACCTAGGCTGGAGTGCAGTGGCGCAATCTCAGGTCACTGCAACCTCTCCTCTCAGGTTCAAGCGATTCTTGTGCCTCAGCCTCCTGAGTAGCTGGAATTCCAGGCACGTGCCACCACACCCACTAATTTTTATATTTTTGGTAGAGGTGGTGTTTCATCACATTGGCCAGGCTTGTCTCGAACTCCTGATCTCAAGTGATCTGCCTGACTTGGCCTCCCAAAGTGCTGAGATTACAGGAGTGAGCCACCTACTTCATAGAATTATTGAAAGAATGTGGGCTAAAGAAGACAGCCATGAAAAAGCACCAAGCCTCTTAGCTGGCACATGGCAGGAACTCCATGAATATCGGTTGAATCTGAAGGTGACTGTGATCATGGATATTTCTGTGTTTAAGTGCCATCACAACCAGGGTGTGGGCAGCTTGGTGCTTTTTGTCACGGGCTCCCCGGGCGGTTCCAGTTAGGTGGAGAGGACAGTGGTCAGAGCTGCTGCGTGGCCAGCTGCTGAGAAGGGAGTTCTTCATGTCCACCTCCTCAGCCCCCACCCCAGCGACAGGCCTTACCTCTTCCAGACCCCCTGAAGCCAGCCACCCTGCCTAACAGGATTCCAAAGACTAGGAGAACCTCCCCAGCCTGACTCAGGCAAACTGAATGCCCTGCCTCCAACGAGCAGGGGCCCCGAGGCAAGTCTTGCTCTGGGAAGATAAACAGGTTTTTATTACCTCCACCTAAGACCAAGCCTCAACCTCCAGCTGCTGTGAGACACTCATTCCCAGGAAGAAAAATGATCTTTAATTGCAGTAGTACATGTGACACCTCCTTGGTAGACTGCAAGCTCCCTGAGGGCAGGAACTGGGTCCCACAGGCTCTCATCTTCCTCCTGGTCCCTAACACCTGCCTATCTGAGTACGTGGTCAAGGAAGGTTTGTTGAGTTCTAACGCATGCGTGTTTGGTTTCTGCTTCTGAGCTAGGGTCTCTTGCCAGGTAAGCAGAGCTAGATGCACTCCTCGAACTCAGTGGAAAATGTCATGGTGGGTCAAGGTTAATAGGATCCAGGACCAACAGTCCCTGCTGCTTCCTTCTCCTCCTTCCCACCTCCACACCTGGCCAAACCTAGGACACAGAGACTGGGTGTCTCGGGACTAGATTCCCAAGTCATGCCTAAAACAAGGCATTAGGTCCTTTAATAGATATGATTTGGTTCACTAACCCCCAAGTCACATTCCTTTCATCAACAAATCAAGGCAACTCCAAGTACTTTCTCCTCCCCTGTGGGCTCACACACTGGTCCATGGAGCTCTGGAGTGGAGCAGAAGAGACTAGGGCCTCTTCCCTAACACACTCATAGGCACTTGCCACTAAAAACAAGCTAACTCGGCCAGGTGCAGTGGCTCATACCTGTAATCCCAGCACTTTGGAAGGCCAAGGTGGGCAGATCACCTGAGGTCAGGAGTTCAAGACCAGCCTGACCAACATGGTGAAACCTCATCTCTACTAAAAATACAAAATTAGCCAGGCATGGTGGCACGTGCCTGTAATCCCAGCTACTTGGGAGGCTGAGGCAGGAGAACTGCTTGAACCCGGGAGGCGGAGGTTGCAGTGAGCCAAGAGCGAACTATTGCACTCCAGCCTGGGCAACAAGAGCGAAACTCCGTCTAAAAAAAAAAAAAACAAAAAACCCAACTAACACAAGCCCACCTTTCCACCCTCTGCGTCTTCTCTCCTTCTGGGTCACCTCTTAGGCTTCCCTGGCCAGCACAAGGTGGACACCTGTAAGCTGCTTCTTATCCAGCCAGCTAAGCAACAGCACACAGTAACCAGCCCCATGCCCTGAAAAACAGTCACGGGATTCAGCAAAAGGCTTGCACCAGGACCAGCCTCTCCTCCCCACATTCCCCGGGCCAGCTGGGTCCCTCGCTCAGTTGCCAGACAGACTGCTTTTGCATGTGGGCCAGCCTCTGACGCTCCCAGGTAAGTGGTCAGTCATCCAAGGCTTCCACTTGGAGAACAATCAATTTAGACTTCAGAGATTTGGGAGACCTAGGGAGATATTCCTAAATGAGATCCCCCGCTTCCAGCACAGACTCCCAGTTGCCTAGCAACTGTAGGAAGAGCTCTGGGAAATCCGGAGCTTACTCCAAAGCCCCCTGTGCTGTGAGGAGCTCGGTGCGGCCCACCTAGGGAGGAAGGCACTGCAG